ATACAACCTGCATAATCGGAGTCAACATAGCCTTCGACTGCTGCTTTACTATCTTCACCCAAGGCTCCACCATAAATTAAGACTCTGTTCAGAGACCCATTTATGTACCTTAAAATCCACTTTAACGCTTGCCAGTGAGCCTTTCCAGGATTCGCCATGTACCTGCTTACAAGACTTACTGCATATGCTATATCGGGTCTAGTACAGACCATAGCATACATCAAAGAACCAACTATATTAGCATATGGGATGCTATTCATATAGGTTCTTTCGACATCAGTACTGGGACATTGATCAATACTCAGCTTGAATTGAGGGTTTGTTGGAGTCACAACAGGCTTCGAGTTCGACATACCAAACTTGTCAAGAATCTTTCGTAGGTATGCCTCTTGAGATAAGCATAATTTCGACTGCTTTCTATCTCTTCGAATGTCAATTCCAAGAATCCTAGGTGCAGCTCCCAGATCCTTCATGTCGAACTCCTTATTGAGTTCAGCCTTCACCCTCATTACATCTTCGACATTGTTGCTTGCTATCAGAATATCATCAACATAAAGCAACAAAATAACAAATGAATTTTCAGGTCGAAATCTGGAGTAAACACAATGGTCGAACTGACTTCTAATGAAACCTATGTGTTCCATGAACTTGTCGAATCTCTTATTCCACTGTCGAGGAGATTGTTTAAGTCCATATAAAGATTTCTTCAGTTTGCACACATAATCTTCTTTCCCCTTTTCGACATACCCTTCAGGTTGCCTCATCAGGATTGTTTCATCTAAGTCACCATACAAGAACGCAGTCTTCACATCCATTTGTTCCAGTTCAAGGTCGAACTGAGCCACCATGGCAAGCAACATTCGAATGGATCTGTGCTTCACAACAGGGGAAAATATATCATTGAAGTCGACACCTTCTTTCTGAGTGAAACCCCTTGCAACTAATCTTGCCTTGTACCTCTTCGACATTACTCCTTCAATTCCTTCCTTATCTTTGAAAATCCACTTACAGCTGACTAACCTTGCCCCAACAGGTTTCTTGATTAGTTCCCAAGTGTGATTATCATGGAGAGATTTCATCTCATCATGCATGGCCTTTAGCCATTCAGTCTTCATTCGACTCCTCATAACTTCCTTATAATCTCTAGGTTCTTCGTCTAGAACTTCACTTGCAGAGATTAAGGCATAAGCTACAAGATCTGCATATCCAAGTCTCTGAGGTGGTTTTATGGCTCTTCGTTGCCTATCTCTCGACAATAGGTAGTCATCAACAGTTTCCTCAACATCAACAGAATATTCTGTTTCTTCTTCGACTTCATCTGGGATACGCATTTCAGCATCAACATGCTCCACCTCAACAGGAATCTCTACCTGTTCCAGCTCTTCGTCAACATCATCAGTTTTCTTGAAAGCCATTTCAGTTTCATTGAAAACTACATCTCGACTGGTGATACACCTCCTGTGACCTGGCTCTAGGCACCATAGCCTATAAGCTTTTACTCCTTCAGGGTATCCCATAAACATGCATTTCAGAGCTCTAGGTTCGACCTTGTCTTGCCTAATGTGAGCATAGGCTACACAGCCAAATACTCTTAGTTTGTCGAGATCTGGTGGATGTCCCGACCAAACTTCTTCAGGTGTCTTCATATCTAACGCTGTCGAAGGACATCTGTTTATCAGATATGCTGCTGTCGAAACAGCCTCAGCCCAAAACACCTTCTTTAATCCCGCACTAGTCAACATGCATCTAACTCTCTCCAAAATAGTTCGATTAAACCTTTCAGCCAAACCATTTTGTTGTGGAGTACCTGCGGTAGTTCTGTGCCTTGCAATACCAGAGGCAACACAAAAACTGTCGAACGCCTCATTGCAAAACTCAAGGCCATTGTCGGTTCTCAACCTTTTTACCTTTCTGCCAGTTTGATTTTCGACAAGAGTCTTCCAACTTTTGAAATTCTCAAAAGTTTCATCCTTAGTCTTCTGGATGAATACCCATAACTTTCTGGAATAGTCATCTACTATGGATAGAAAATACTTTGCTCCTGAATGTGATGGACACCTTGCAGGCCCCCAAAGATCAGCATGGATGTAATCAAGGGATCCATGTGTTCTTTGTTTGCCTTTGTTGAACTTCATTCTACAGGATTTTCCAAGTACACAGGGTTCACAAAACTTCAGCTTTTCGACTTTATCTCCACCAAGCAGATTTTGTTTCCCTAATTCGACCAGACCCCTTTCACTGACATGGCCCAATCTCATGTGCCAAATTTCTGTCTTCGACAAAGGTTTCGTGGAAGCAACATTTGTCGAACCACTTACAACTTCAGCCTCAAGGGTATACAAGCCTTGTTTCTTCACGCCTCTCAAGACTTCCTTCGACCCTTTCATGACTCTTAGGATACTTTTCTGTCCTTGAAAAACATATCCTTTCTTGTCGAATTCACCAAGAGAAATCAAATTTCTCTTCAAATCAGGTACATACCTGACTTCAGTCAACAATCTTATTGACTCATCATGGAGCTTGAATCTCACAGATCCAACGCCTGCAATCTTGCAAGCTTTGTTGTTTCCCAGCAATACAGATCCACCATCTTGATCACATAATTCCTCGAACAAGTCTTTGTTTGGAGTCATGTGCCAAGTGCATCCAGAATCCATAATCCATTCCTTCGACGAGTTTTTGCTTGAAACCACAAGAACATCAGATGATTCGAAATCATCTTGGACAATAGCTGCGTTGCCATTATCCTTACCTCCATGATCTTTCAGGCGTTCAGGGCACACCTTTCTTGTGTGACCTACTTTCTTACAGTGATAGCATCTAATACCAGATGCATCACCACTATAAGACTTCGACTGATTTTTACCTTTCCTCTTGTCGAATTTTCCTTTAACAGCCAAACCTTCACCAACCGTCGAAGGTTTATGCTCCTTACGTTCGTTCAAGTCCTTAGAGTACAAGGCTGATTGAACTTCTTCAAAGGTCAGGGACTCTCTTCCATACAAGAGGGTTTCTTTGAAGTGAGCATGTGATCTGGGCAAAGCGCACAACAATAACAACGCTTGATCTTCATCATCAATCTTTACATCAATATTTTCAAGATCAAGAATCAGCTTGTTGAACATATCCAACTGCTCAGCCAACACTTTGTCTTCGATCATCTTGAATGAATACAAAGCTTGCTTCAGGTAGAGTCGATTTACCAGAGATTTGGTCATATACAAACTTTCAAGTTTCACCCATAACCCTGATGCCGTCGTCTCCTTTGATACCTGTCGAAGAACCTTATCACCAAGGCTCAACAAAATTGCGCTGTGTGCTTTCTCGATCATGGCCGTCTTCTCTCTTTCTGTTAGCGCAGCGTCCATCGCCGTCGCTCCCTTCAACGCTTCCAAACAACCCTGCTGAACCAGTAGAGCTTTCATCTTCAAGCGCCATAGACCGAAATCATTCACTCCGGTGAACTTTTCGATCTCATACTTTGTTGAAGGCATCTTCTCCACGCTCACCGCACCAATTTGTTGTGAATTCAATGCCAACAACAAAGTATAGTATCTGGGAAGAATAAAGAACAAGGAAGAAGAAGAACACAAGAATTGGTTATAACTGCTATTCTTTACTTTCTCTTTGAAAACAAGATTACAAGTTTACAAGGATAACAAATAACCCTCTCACCCTAATTAGGATTTGCTGTGTTGGCAATGATGAGAGACTAGTATGCTATTTATAATAAAACCTAACATACTAACTAATGGGCTTTTTCCACAAGGCCCATTATACAAGCTAACTTAACAAACAAGCTAACTTAACAAATTAGGGTTTAAACACTAAAACCTAATTCGACAAGCATCCTTCGACAAATACATGCTAGAACCTTCTTCGACTACAGCAAGTACTTCGACCAACTAGAGTTCGATCCAAAATCCCACATGAAGAATGGAAGCATCGAACTAAAGCATGTTGCAAGCAAAGATCAAGCAGCAAACATCCTCACAAAACCACTGTCGAAGGAGTCTTTCGACAGAGGCAAGAAAATGCTTGGGATGATGGATCGAAGGAATATTTGAATTTATGGGGGAGTTTTGTTGGTTAAATTCAAATCAGCCTTGGGTAAATCAAAAGTCAGATTCTCTTGGACAGTGGGACAATTTATTCCTTAGGGACCTATACATAGTTATTACTGTAACTCTTAATATTCTATCATGTGACTCTATATAAATCATATTGTATCTCATTGTAAAAGTTAGTTGAACAAAATCTATAAAAAAAAAACAGTTCACAGTCCACTCTCATTCTCTTAAATTTCTTCAATCTCTAGCCTCATAATATTTGAAAAAAATGAAAAGCATCCGATAACAGTGCTCTTACTTCAACTTGTGTGGACACACAGTGTATTTGGCAATACAATTCACTTTAAAACCATAAAGATTCTATCATCAAACTGTTGATAAAATATATGTTTATAATTTCTACCTGATCAAGGAAATAGAGCAGACAAAAAAGTGATAAGGCAAGGTCGAATACCTATAACACGTGAAGGAGACGTCTACGTCTTTTTCTAGATGTATAAGTATTAGAGAGCGAGGAACCCATCTTAGAAGGATGAGAGTAACCCACCATACTATATATATATCTGTCACTGAAATGTAAGTACATAATGTGATCACATTGGACCACCATTAACATTGGACCACCATAAGTAAAACTGACTTTTGAACCACAACAAAGTATATTTTTGTGGACTACTGTTTATATTTTACTATTTTGGCAGCAAAAAGTTACATTAATATAGATTAAGTTACACCTACTCCTTAAAGTATTTTAACTTTGTCCCTTAAAATTACCAGAGGTCTATAACACTATTGTCTATATAATATAATCAGTTTATTCTTTCTACTTCACAAACAGAGTTCTGGTTTTGTATTTCAAGGGTAGTGGATAATAATCAAGAAAAAATGACTGAAACAAAGTTGAAGGATAAAAGATGGTCCCTGGAAGGTATGACTGCATTAGTAACTGGAGGAACCAAAGGCATTGGGTAATTTCGATATCTTACTCTTACTTCAAGTATTTATAGAATAATAGTATACATTTATTTATATTTTTCTATTATGATTCTTGAATTAGGTTCGCAATTGTGGAAGAGTTAGCAGAATTTGGAGCAGCGGTGCATATATGTTCACGTAACGAAGATGATATTAACAAATGTTTGGAAGAGTGGAAAAGAAAAGGGTTTAATGTAACAGGATCAGTATGTGATATACTTAGTCATGAACAACGGAAGAGATTAATGGAAACTGTTTCTTCTATCTTTCACGGAAAGCTCAATATTCTAGTATGATCAATTTATATATATTTTTACATTTTTTTTAACTAAGTGCTCAACTCATGTATAAATTGTTAAGCAGTTCTTTGTTATTAGGTAAACAATGCTGCAAAACCTTCAATGAAGAAAATAATAGATAATAGTGATGAGGATATAACAAGTATAGTTGGCACAAACTTTGTGGCTGGTTACCATTTGTGTCAACTTGCACACCCACTTTTAAAAGAGTCTGGATATGGAAGCATAGTTTTTACTTCGTCCATTGCGGGTTTAAAAGCTATTCCTATTTTATCAGTATATGCAGCAACTAAAGGTATGTTTTATTTTCTTTGATAATTAAATATGAGCGTAATATAATATAATGTCATATAAAATAACATCTAAATTAATTCAGGTGCGGTGAATCAATTCACAAAAAACTTGGCATTAGAATGGGCAAAGGATAATATTCGTGCAAATGCTGTTGCCCCTGGACCTGTCAAGACTGAACTTTTGGGATCAGTAATGGTAATGCATTTGTTCATGTAACATATAAAATTATAGTGATAGTTCTAGCATGTCATTAATGTAGCAACTGCTTCTTATAGGATGCTTCTGAAGGTGGTGGAGCTATAAATGGTATAGTTTCTCAAACTCCTATGTATCGTATGGGAGAGACGAATGAGATATCATCATTAGTTGCCTTTCTTTGTCTTCCAGCTGCATCATACATTACCGGACAAGTTATTGCTGTTGATGGAGGTTACACTGCTTAGATCAATGCTATTAATTTATTTTCCTTTAGGTGTTGCATATGTACCTTTGGCTGTGGATTTCTTTCTATAGGTTGTTTTGTTTGGTTTCTGTTTTCTTTCAGTCTACTTGTTTCTACAAAATAATGTGCTATATCAATAAATATTTGTATTAGAAACATCTACCTAGTGTATTGTAGAAGCATGTACCACTACTAAAAATATTCAGTTTTCCTGTGGACTTGAGTTAAAAATCCGCAGGTAACATGTTTTCTACAATTTTTGCTGTGGTTTATTGTCTCCAACTGTAACCTCCTTCGGAGATAATTGTAAATCCGTAAGAAAAACAATCCGCAGGTAAGGTAAATCTACAGGAATCTTAATCCGTAGATAAATAAATCCACAGTTAATGTATTTCGAAATTTAAAAAAAAATAAAATAAATTTAATTAATAAATTGTGACGGTAATTTTCCTATGCAATAATTTAATGTGAATAGTCTTGAATTCATATAATTTAATTTTCCAGGGCACAATAGACACCTTTTGTAAGCCCGTCTTGTTTTAATCAATTTTATCATTAATAAAAGTGAATTTTGTTATTCAATTGAGATTTTTGTCCTTTTCATTTCTTAATCTTTTCAAAAATAAAATGGAAACTTTCCATTCACATTTATTTTTCTAGTTTAAAATCAACTATAAAGAAATAAGTCATTCTTATGCATATCATCTAAAATTGAACCCATTGAGCACAACAATGCTATAATTCCCTCTGACTTCGACTTCCCGATCAACTAAGCTGAAGAAGATGGTGAAGAAGATTGCGAACTTCCAGAAGAGTTAGCATGATTGGTGGAGCAAGAGGATAAGATGATTGAACCTCACCAGGAACTCGTGAAAGTGATCAATCTGATAACTGATAAGTAATCTAAAGAGATCAAGATTGGAGTTTCCCTTGAGCAGAGTGTCAAGGACGAATTGGTCGAGTTGTTGAAAGAATATGTGGATGTGTTTTCATGGTCATACCAGGATATGCATGGCCTGGATACAAACATTGTCATGCATAAACTTCCGTTGAAGCCAGAATGCCCACCAGTCAAGCAGATGCCGAGGAGGATTAATCCAGACATGGCCAAGGAAATCAGAGACGAGGTCAAGAAGCAATTTGATGTTGGTTTCTTAGTTTCAATGTATCCTGATTGGATCGCCAATATCGTGCCTGTCCCCAAGAAAGACAGTAAGATGCAAATGTGTGTGGACTATAGAGATTTGAATAGATCCAGTCTAAAGGATGATTTCCCATTACCTCATATCGATGTGTTGGTTGATAACACAACTCAATTTTTTGTGTTCTCCTTCATGGACGGTTTTTTAGGCTATAATCAGATCAAGATGAATCCTGAGGATATGTTAAAACAACTTTCTTCACACCCTGGGGAACTTTCTGTTATAAAGTGATGCCTTTCGGTTTGAAAAATGCCAGGGCAACTTATCGAAGGGCAATGGTGACTCTCCTTCATGACATGATGCATAAAGAGAGTGAAGTATACATTGATGATATGATTTCTAAATTCCAGACTGAGGAAGAGCACATCATACATTTGAAGAAGTTGTTTGCTAGATTGAGGAAGTATATACTATGCTTGAATCCCAACAAGTTCACTTTCGGTGTTAGGTCTAGAAAGCTTCTTGGTTTCGTAGTAAGTGAGCGAGGCATTAAAGTTGATTCTGCTAAAGTCAAAGTTATTCAGGATATGCTCGCACCTCGTACTGAAGAGGAAGTCAGTGGTTTCCTAGGTTGTTTGAATTACATTTCCAGATTCATTTCATATTTGACGGCTACTTGTGAACCAATTTTCAAGCTACTTAGAAAAGATCAAACAGTCAGGTGGAATGATGATTGTCAGAAGGCATATGACAAAATCGAAGAATACTTGCAAGAACCACCGATCTTGATACCACAAGTCCAGGGAAAGCCTCTTATAATGTACCTAACTATGTTAGAAAGATCCATGGGTTGCGTTTTAGGGAAACAAGATGAATCAGACAGAAAAGAACATGCTATATATTACTTGAGTAAAAAATTCACTGAATGTCAAACCAAGTACTCTTTGTTAGAGAAAACTTGTTCTGCCTTGGCGTGGGCTGCTCGCCGTTTGAGACAATACATGATTTGTCATACGATTATGCTGATATCCAAGATGGATCCAATCAAATACATATTTTAGAAGCCTTCCATGACAGGAAGAATTTCTCGTTGGAAAATGTTATTATCTCTATATGACATCCAATATGTGACTCAAAAAACAATTAAAGGTAGTGTGGTGTCTGAATACCTCTCTCACCAACCAGTGGAAGATTATCAACCAATGAAATTTGATTTCTTAGATGAGGATGTTGTGTTCATCAGAGACTGTGCAATTCTAGACCCTGAAGAAGGATCCGAACCAGGATCACAGTGGAAGCTAGTGTTCGATGGTGCCTCTAGGAGTGGCATGTGCGAGTGTGTCAGGTTTCATGTTTATATTATCTTTGCACATGTATCATTGTGAGCTACGTTTTTGATTTTATTTTTCAAGCAAGTCTTGTCATGCATAGTTAACAGTTAATAATTGTGCGGAAAATAAATTGCGGAAAGTAAATCTACGCTATTACAAGGCATCGGGTATTTACATCGCCAAAAACATAACCCTTGAAAAGTAAATGCGAGAAAAATAAAGAAAGCGATAAAAGTCCTAATTATCTATTACATTCTCGGAACAGTTACATAAATATAATCAAAAAATAATATGCGCGCGATAAAAATTAAATCGGGAACGTCCTTAGGGTTTTGACCCTTTTTGAGAAAAGAATAGAATTTTGGTCTTTTTTGCAATTAATTAAACCTAATTCTAATTGTGATCGGTGGATCTGGAACTGACTGTTTTAACGCTGGTTCGCGAAATGTCGCGGTAAGCAAGAGTCGCCACCGTCTTTTATTTTCTCCAAATGGAAAGGACAAAAGCACAGAAAAATTCCTTTAAAGAGATTGCTCTCGGTTCGGGAGGTAGGTTATAGAAAGGGAAGGTGTTAGCACCCTTTCTATCCATGGTTATCCATGGGCTCTTAGATACTTGCTCAATGTGTTTTCAAAATGTTTGCTTGCTTTTCAATTGTGGGTTAAAAAGTTTCTTTGAAAAATTTCAGTTCGACTCGTACGTCAGAGTGTTTGAAAAATTTGCTTTGAAAGCTTTTGAAAAGTGTTGGTGTGAAAAGTATTATTTGTTTTGTTTTTGAAGAGAGCAAGTATCTACGAGAACCTACCTACCCTAAGGAATTCGTCTGTGTAAAGGTCCTTTAAAGTAGTGTTATTCCACCATTGAGAGGTAGGTAGCACCACCGTTGGAGGTGTTCGGGTCAATTCGAGTTTTAGGGACATGGTGATCACCGGAGCAATGGGAAGACACCTTAGAAGCTACCCTCATGCCAGGTTCCCGGATCATGAGGACTTACTAAGACGTCTTCTACTCGACGACCACCTTTCGAAAGGCAACAGTGAAGCGTACCCTAGGGGTGGTGTGTGCGGTCCGTGTGTCATGTTTCAATTATTTTGTCTTGTCATGTTTGTTGTGATCTACGCTTGATTTTATTTTTAAGTCCATACATTCTTTCATGCATATTTATTAACAGTTATATAGTTTGCGAAAAAATAAATCTAAACTATTACAAACGGCGCGGGTCCACATCGCCAAAATAAACCGAACCCGATTTGACTAAAAGTAAAAGAGCAATAAAATAAAAGTGCGAGAAATAAATCTAAACTTATTACAAGGCTTTGGGGCATATACAGAGTTATTTAAACGATTATATAAATGCGCGAAACAAAGGAATTAAACAAAGCTAGGGCGTTGGACCCTTTTACAAACAAGTAACATTAATAAGGAATTTAAAATTAAAATTAAATGAAAAATGGGATTTTTGTGTTTTTTAGGTTTAATGAGAAAAAAGGAGTTAATGGAAATTAAATCAAATATTAGACCTAATTCTATTGTTTTTTAAGTTTATTATGAAAATATTGACTTTTAACCTAATTTAATTCTAAATTAATTTATGTACATTTTTTAATTTATGATGAAAATAAATAAAAATTATTATTCTGAAAAAAAGGAAAAGAAAAAGAGAAAATAAAAATTATTAAACCTAAATTCTATTTTTTTGGATTTTTATTAAAAGGAATTAAAGTTGGAAACCTAATTAAAACTTAAATATTTACATGTTATTATTCATACAAACAAAAACAATATTTAAAATAAAATAATTATTAAATTTTCTGACTTTTCTGATTTTTGTGATGTTTTTGTATTTTTGTAAAAAATTATTAATTAAATAAATAACAAGTAAAAGAAATAAAAGAAAAATTAAAGAAAGAATAAAAAAAAAAATAATAAGGCAAACCAGGGGGGGTGTAGCCCCAGATTAGGAGGTTCAGGCCTGGGATTTCTGGCCCATCAACGCCTGAGTCCATTGACTTTTGGAATTCTGTATCAGCGCATTGACTTTTGATCATGGTACACCTTGATTCTGAGCCTTTGGATGATTGTCTGGGACACGTATGCGTTTGGATCAGGATGGCATATGGTGCACCTGGATATTAGCAAAGCATAGAATTCTATTTTGAAAAATAATATGGAATTGTGTAGACCTGGGACTTGAACCCAGGTCATGAGGGTTAATGGAATTCACGCTTACCACCTGAGCCAGCACGCACATGTTATTATATTACAACAAATAAATAATAAAAAAGAAACAAGCGCGTTAGTGACTTTCTGGCGCGAGAATTCAAACGCGCCTATCACATGTTGACACGGAGTCATCTTCCTCCCCGTCCCTGTAAAACAAAACCCTATGGCCACAGTTTTCACGCGTGGGTTAAAGTAACCTTTAGGAAAATAGCGATTAGGATCCTGTTGGACATAAATTGTTCGCGAGGTATGCTTCTTCTTCGTCTCTAAACGCTGAGTATGACTATCATGGTCTGGAAGGCTGA